ATACTCGATGTGAATGACAATTGTCCAATCTTCGTGAATTTACCTTACTATGCCACACTATCGGTTGATGATGACAAAGGTACAGTGATAACAAAGGTGAAGGCTGTGGATTTGGATAGTTATGAAAATGGTGAAGTGCGTTACGAGATGAAGAAAGGAAACGGTGAGCTTTTCAAAGTCGATCGCAAGTCGGGTGAATTGGTGCTGAAGCAAAATATCGATGGTAGTACCAGAGTGTACGATTTGATTATCGCTGCATACGATGGTGCAATTTCTCCATGTTCTACAGATGCAGCGGTTAACATAAAGGTGAGTGTTGAGTTCATTACTTATAACTAGTGTAAAAAAATATATAAAACATCTAAATACGTACATACATACATAAATGTGCAGAGTTTGCTTGGCGTTCACCTAGAGTTGTGTGTTCGTTTCTTAAAATGTCACAATCTTTTAAGGTAAAATGGCACATTCTCTGCCCTTTGAAGATTGGTCTAGTTGCACAATATCGAACCGAAGGTATCGATATGGTCTCAATCAAAGTATCGCGCTAATAATAACGGGTATCCATTAATATCGGAATAAAAAGACTCGATATCCCAAATATCGATACCAAAATTCAAAAACAAAATTTTCGGAATATTGGTGTCGTATGTAGGCTGCTGTAGTGTAGTGATAAGAAGTGCGCAAACCTCCGAATCAATTTCTGCCACGAAAAACAGCTTCTCATAAAAAAATAATCGCCGTTCGAAGTCGGCGTAAAACTGTATGGATCCGCTTTGTGGCACAACATCAATTAAAACAGATACCGCGGGTTCAAATCCCGCCACATGCAATTCTAACGATAGTAAAAATTTCTGTTCTTTAAAGTCCAATTCATATCGGGAAGAATTGTTAATCTGGCAACCCAGTAAAAAATATCGGTATCGAATGCCCAAAGTATCGTGTCCCTTGATTTGTCAAGGGAGAAGGTTTCCCTAAAAATCAGATGGGTGCTTAAGACGACAATATTTTGAAATGCGTGAGCTAGACAAGGACAAGAAGGCAAAAACATGTCCTTTTAGAGAGTTGAGTGTAACATCAAACACATTTTGCACCGTGGAAGGGCATAATTTTTTTTGGAGAAACGAAATCACCGTCAATCAATGTTCATCTCTCTTGACTGCGTTCCCGATCGTAGGAACATAGAAGACAACGAAAGAGCAGACGAATTGGTCAAGGTGGGAGCTTTTTTAAATGTACAAATACAACTAGAAATCCCCTTGCACTTTCTGAAAATAGCAAGGAGGAGGTGGAGACTCGTAAGAAAGCACGTGAGCTTTCGCTTGACTATAGCAGGAAAATAACAGCAGAGCTACTAAGTATGTCAAGAGTAGATGTATTTAGTATCGTAGCTTATATGGAAATCCATACAGTATAGGTATAAGTATGTCAAGGGTAGCTGTATTTAGTATCGTAGCTTATATGGAAATCCATACAGTATAGGTATTCACCGAATTGAGCAAGAGGTCTGGCACTCCGGCAGAAGAGCGGATTTCGTCCATGAACGAACGAACTCGTAATAAATCATCGCACGAACTAATTCACCTTTTTCTGAGATTAATACATATATCAGCACATTTCGAACCTAACAAATAATCATCGTAGGTTAAAGTTTTCTGGGTAGGTTTACGCTAATACTCGACAATACGGTTGGTTGGACGGAAACCTCATATTAGCTTTCATAAATTTTATAAAATCATTTTAACCAGCTTTCATTTGAACTCCTTCCCAGGTTGTTGACCGCTCTATGCCAACATTCGATAAACAATTTTATTCCGATGTCGTAAAGGAAAATGCCGAACTATTTTCAGCACTCTCCATAGCAATACTGGCCGAAAGTCCGCTTAAACGGAAATTAATTTATACAATATCCAGCGGAAATGAGGACGAAGTATTCGAAATTGATTACCGAACTGGTAAGTTAAGTGGTGGAGACATTAAGACTACTTAGGCGAGCTAGAAAACCTCAAAGTTGTTGAAATTTTTGTCGAACTGTCAAAATGTGTATATAATAAGGGTCTTCACACCGAGCTTGATAGTCGGCAACTCGGTGTTCGGTAATTTCTCCCCATGTATGTGTTTGTGTACAATAATGTAACTTTTCCATAAAAATTTTGACAATTCAACCAAACGATTCAAGACTTTCGAAAAGCTGAAGACCTTTTGCAGTTTAAAGTTGTAGTTCCACTATAATTTCCCCCCTTGTGTTTTTTATTTTTTTAGGCGTCATTTATATCGTTAACGAGTTGGATTATGAGACAAAGCAAAGCCACGAATTTATGGTGCGTGCCACCGACTCGCTCTCTGGTATCTATGCCGAGGTAACGGTGTCAATAATTGTCGAAGATGCCAATGATTGTTATCCAGAAATCGAACAAGCCAATTACAACATCACCATATCGGAAAATCTCATAATCGGTTCACAAATAATGAAAGTGAATGCAACCGATTGTGATGCGAATGCAAATAGCGAATTATCATATTTTATTGATAGCGTCGATGGTAAAAATAACTCCGCACTCTTTTACATCGACATGGCAGAGGGATATCTATATTTGAAAAGTAATTTAGATGCCGAAGAAAGTACTTTCCATCACATCATACTGGTGGTGAAAGATCATGGTACGCCATCGTTAAGTTCGCGAGCAAATGTATGGATTATAGTAAGGGATCTCAATGATAATTTTCCAAAATTTACGGAGGCTTCCTTCTCGAGTCGTCTATCAGTCAATGCACAACGTGGCCAATTCGTTATCAATGCAAGAGCCTATGATCCCGATCATGAGGATAACGATCGGCTTAAATATCGTATAATCGATGGCAATGAATTGCAAACGTATACGATTAATGAAAATAATGGCGTTATCACGCTACAAAATATGCAAAATTTCACGGATCATCATCAGACGCTGCTAAATGTTTCCGTTAGCGATGGTGTACACACAACTTATGCGAGGGTAAAAATCATACTTATGCCGGAAAATAATCATGCACCAAAGTTTTTGAAATCGAGCTATGAGGCGAGTGTGAAGGAAAATGAGGCAGCTGGAAAGAATATCGTTTTGGTAAGTTTGAGCAAATTCGATTCTTTTTTATGTAAGAGTACTCACTTGGCACCTACTAATGCTAAAGCTTATAATATTGAAATTATCTTCCGATTTCGTTTCTATAGCTTCAAGCATACGACGCTGACTTTGGACGCTTTGCAAAACTCACTTATGATCTGGTCTCAGAAGAATTCAAAGAGTATTTCGAAATTGATGGCAGCAATGGTTCCATTACAACCAAAGTGGCATTTGATAGGGAGCAACGTGCTTTCTACGACGTATTAGTGCGGGTCTCTGACGAAGGTGGCAAGGCAGATTATGCTCTCTTGAAAATCAAAGTTGAAGATGTAAATGACAATAGTCCGCGCTTCATGGTTAAGGAATATAAACTTGTAGTTAAAGTCGATACACCAATTAATTTCACACTTTTGAAGGTAAGTAAGCGATTTATTTGGTTGATATGTTTTTAAAAGGTGCACAAATCATTCATCTGTTCGGATATCTTGACCTTAGAGAAATACTCAGACACAATGTGAAAGTGTTGTGTGTTGATAAGACGATACTCTGTAAAGCTACATTCACTTACACTTTTATAAAGAAGAAGTTAAAGAAATAGGATCTTTTTACAAATTTATTGAGCGCCTAACCCATGAGGCTGCAAGCAAGACAAAACAAAGTTGTAAAAAAACAGACGATATGGTATTACATACTACTGAGGCTATCGGTATCCTTTTCTCGGAGCCCAAGTAATAAATAGCCCTCGAATTGTTAATGTGGTTGGCACTCATTTGTAATATTACAAGATTCAGGCTTATTATTTAAATTTGAAACTGACTAAATGAAAATCAACTACATACATAGAGCCTCCACCACGCTGCTTCGTATAGCCTAGAAAGACGGTAACGTTAATTCGGATTAACGGCGCAGTTGGTCTGATCAAAATTGTACACTGACAGAAGGCAGTATTGCGGATTAAGCCAGCCGCGAGGTCGTGTGTTCGACTCCCACGGCCAGAGATTTTTTAAATTTTTTTAGTTCCTTCATTTACTACTGCTATTTTTTTTAATAAATTCGAACTCTAAAAATGAAATGAATTAAACACAAAAAGGAAACAAATTATAATAAATGAAATAAAATATATAATTAAAGAAGGAAAAATAAAAAATAAAAATAATTTTTAAGAATTGCCCGAAGTGGGGAGCATTTGCTTTGTATGCTTACTTCTTTGCTCAGAGAGCGTAGAATACAGAAAACAAGTAAAACTAGCTAGATGTCCAGGCCTTGTCGGCGATTGTGCATTAGGGTGACCCAACAAAAAATAGTTTAAAATGTTAAGCTCTCACCCCTAAGATTTATCTGAATGAAAAAAAATAAATACTTAAATTTTTTTTTAAAAAAAAAAAAAAAAAAAAATTTGAACTGCCGCAAAGCCCTTTTCCAAGTATTTTATTCGGGGAAAACACCTTTTTATAGAAATGGTACCTATAGAATTCTTGAAAATCAATATTTTTCTTCTTGCTTTTCAGGAGACTTCCAATAATAATACCCAATTGTTTATTTGAAAATTTTTTAATACTAACGATTTTTTATGGGTCCCCCATTGCCTTTTTGGCGGTTTTTGGAGGACCTAAAACAAATAGTTAATATTCAAGAATGGTTAAATAAACGATTGAGTATTGTGATTGGAAGTATCTTTAAGAGAATTATATACCAAACAAATAAAATACATATGTACATGGAAGTCTTCATAAGTTTGACAATTAACTATAGGACTTAATCTGGATAAACTGCAGTTAATTAACGGGATAATTCCGTATTAACGAGATGATCCAGATCAACGCTGCCGTCTGTCTATGCTTTTATACTCCTTCATCAAGAATCTCGATTCTCCTCCAGCGGTAGTTTTCTTTCGAAATACTCTTTCTCCCTATTTTCTGGCCTGGTCAAAGCAACATAGCAAAAAAAGATATTTAGAAAAAATGTTTTTTTCTTAACAGCGGTTCGCCTCTCTGCAGGCAATAGCAAACCTCCGAGTGTATTTCTGCCATGAAAAACAGGTTCTCATTAAAATACAATCGCCGTTCGGAATCGGCGTAAAACTTTGTATGACAAAATCAAGGCGCACGCCACAAATCGGAGGAGCAGCTCGGCCAAACACTAATATATCGTCGTTTAAAGTACAAAACCGCGTATCAACAAAATGCAAAACCGCGTATCAAGATAATGCAAAACCGTGTATGTGAATTATGTAAATTATCTTCTACAGAGTAAAAACACTCATATTTCAAAATGGTTCTCTTTTTTATAAAGCAATTGCATACCTGGCCAGTATATTTCAGGACGAATGGATAAGGATTGAGCCAAGAGCTTGTGTGAGCAAATCCAATTTTTGGCAGCTAATGCCAGTTACGCGGTTTTGCATGATGACGATACGCGTTTTGTACTTTAAACGACGATATGTGTAAGGGCCAATCTATTATTAATTTTATTATTAATTAAATTCATAAAAAGGGGTCTGGTCCTAACATTATCCAGTGCGACATATTTAAGCAAGGTAATGTTAATGCGTAGAGCGAACCACTGACTACTATGATTAAAACGGTAGCTGGCTGATTATTCGGAAAAGCTTGCGTGCCAAAAACGACGTTTCGCAGTTATCTGTTATCCATCCCAGAGCGATCCTCGGAACTATTTAGGAGGTAAAAGCTGAGCAGCATAGAATGCAAAGAGAATTCTACCTCAACACCCTCGAAACAGCGGCGAAATTGCGACTTATATGTGTAAATGTTAAATTTTATAGGGGCCTCCGATGCACCCAGGGCCAGAAGAACATTGCAGTTGCTTACGTCACTAAACTGGCGTAAAACTCATCTGTTCAAGACTAGTGGTAAGATAGTCAGCTCGATGAAACCACCTCGAGGTACGCTTCCTAACGAGCTCCTTCACTATTAAGTTCCCAGCAATATTACCGTGGCCTGGTACTCATCGAAGTTCTAATTCAGGTATTCTGCGATTAATGTTGAGCACACCGTTTGGAAGTTCAATGTCCTAATTACAGCTTGGCCATAAGATTAAATATTTGCCTCCTTAATTGCAGCCAATCAACTGCTTTCTTAATGACTGCTATCTCTGCCTGAAAAATACTAGTATTAGTAGTATATTTTTGAAGTTCATGGAGAGTTTGCGACAAAAAACATCTTCACTGACCACTTCCGTTAAACTGCAACTCGTGCTTGTAAAATTTCCTTCATCATCGCTTGATTAAATGCGATCCACCCACTGAGCAGCTGGAAGGTAGTTAAGGATCGAGTGGTCTTGTGTCTAACCCTGGCACATGTTGAGTGGGAGTGGTCCAAAGTAGAATTATCAACATTATTACACACGATTCGTGCAAACATTTGGCTGTTGTTGTTGTAACAGCATACAAGTTCCCCAAAGAGTTTTTGGGGAGTGTTGCTGGAGTGACAGTCCTTGGCCAGATAGATGTAAATCTCGGTTGTTCCGGTTACGTAGACCCGACTGTCGTGGGAACGTGCAAAAATTTGGCAATTCTACGTGCTGATGGACTCCTCCTCGGAGTTCCTCTCCAATTTGTCTTTTTCGCGTCGCTGCTTCATGTCAGAAATACACTTGGCGGTTTGCCACTGCCTGCCAACAGGTAACCGATATTATTTTTGGACATTGGTCGGAGTAGGAATCAAACATGGATCCTGCCGAGTGATAGTACGTGCATACCTTTAACCACTAGGGTACGGCGACCACAGCTAACCTATAGTTTCTTCCCATTTTTTTTATTATTTAACATGACCTCACTTTGCTCATTCATTATTCATTTACATAGGTAAAAGCATTCGATATAGATGAGCATGATAACGCGCGTTTAACGTACACAATCGACGAATCGACAGTGGCGGAAACTTACAAAGATATATTCGCTATCAATGAGCGCGATGGTGGTTTGAGCCTGCTGAGACCGATAACAGAGCTCGCCAACAATGTCGCGCAGTTCTTTGTGCGCGCTCTGGATCGTGGCAGCCCTCAGTTCCACAATGATGTGCCTGTTACAGTGCAATTCATCAGCGCCAATGTTACCGTACCGGAATTTGAAAAGCGTTCCCTTGAACTGCACGTTTTAGAATCCACGCCACCGGGTTCCGTCTTGACAAAACTACGGCTTTCCGGAAATTATTCTGTGAAATTTTCAATACCAATTGAAAGTCGAAAGTTTTCGATTTCCGAAAATGGTGAAGTAATACTCATGCAAACGCTCGATCGCGAAGTGAACGATGTACACTATATGATTGCCATGGCGGAGACAGAAACTATACCGCCTCTTTTTACCTTTTGCGAAATCCACATACAAGTGCTGGATGAAAACGATAATTCACCAAAGTTTGATAGTCGCGAGTACAATGTGCATGTAGGTGAGAATATCGACAAAGTCGCCTCTATCATAAAAATCACAGCGACCGATATGGATACAGGATCGAATGGGGATATTCGCTATTATCTGGAAGATGAAACGAATACTGCATCGAATGTTTTCGACATCGATATCTACACGGGTTGGATAACCTTGCTGAGCGCACTGGATAGGGAAACCCAATCGGAGTACCACTTCAATGTGCTCGCAACTGACAATGGCCAACCGAAGCATGTGTCGAAGGTGCCTGTGACCATCAAGATCATCGACTACAACGACAATCCCTCGCTTTTCAATCAGGACAAATTCGAGATCGCAGTGCATGAGAACGCGCTGCCTGGCACCATATTGAAATACTTCCTGATAACCGATCTGGATGCCGAGAAGAGCATAACGAGCTATTACATAATGAGTGGTGATAAATTTTCGCAATTCCAAATTGGTAAAACCGGTGAACTCTTTGTGGCCAAGCCACTGGATAGAGAGGCTATCGCAGCTTACAACTTGCATGTACTTGTAACGGATGGAAAGTTTGTGGCCACCACTGAGGTGGTGATAACGGTGCAGGATGTGAATGATAATGTGCCGATTTGTATGACGCCACGCTACACTTTGAGAATCAACGAATCTGTGATGGCGGGTACGCCCCTAATACAAATCGATGCATTGGATCTGGATGAGAATGGCGGTAATCAGTTACGTTACTATTTGACAGGCAATCGCTCAGATGATTTCTTCATCGAAAAAGACACCGGCACCTTGCGTGTGGCTAAGCCGATAGATAGAGAGACGTATGCGCGTTATATTTTAACTGCACATGCGCAAGACGGCCAAGAGCTGCTGCAGGTATGCACCTCTGAGTTGATTATCAACGTCAATGATCTCAACGATAATCGACCAGAGTTCTCGATGGCACAGTATATAGTAAGCATACCCGAGGATGCGCCTGTCGGCACCATCGTGACCAAAGTGCATGCGACCGATAAGGATTTCGGCCTCAATCGCAAGATCATTTACTCATTCCTTGAAGAGCAGCCGAACTTTAGCATCTCACGCACGAGTGGCATTATTAAACTCTCGAAAAGTTTAGATCGTGAAAGCATTTCCATATTCAACATCTCTATTAAAGCGGTGGACTGTGGCAATCCCAAACAGTTAACAATCACAAGGCTCATCATCAACGTGCTCGATATTAATGATAATCCACCAGAATTCAGTACGCGCGAGTATCGCACGTATGTGTACGAGAATGCCACACTCAACTCGGAGGTGGTGCGCATCTTTGCGACCTCAAAGGACATAGGCGTCAATGCGGAGGTGCTGTACTTCGTTGTGGGCGGCAATGAGCATAATAAGTTCAGCATTGATTCCAAGACGGGCAGCGTATATGTAAATGATGATTTGGATTATGAACGCACAAAGGCTTACTTTCTCACCGTGCAGGCGATTGATGGCGGCACGCCACCGCTCAGCAACATAGCTTCGGTGAATATTACGGTCCTGGATGTCAACGATAATCGCCCGAAATTCACGCAGAATACGTATCGTGCGAAAGTGCGGGAGGATGCATCTAAAATGCAAAGGATCCTACAGGTATTGGCTACCGACGCGGACTCGGGCCAAAATGGCATCATACGCTATAATATAGAGCGTGGCGATCAGCTCAATCAGTTCGCCATAGAAGACTTCTCTGGTCAGATAATCGTCATCAATGCGCTGGATCGTGAGTTAAATGCCAATTACTTGCTAGAGGTGAAGGCCTGCGACAATGGCGTGCCCGAGCTATGCAACTATGTGCGCATCTATGTGGATATTCTGGACGTGAACGACAATCCGCCGCTCTTCCGCCAGCAAAATTACAGCGTAGTATTGCAGGAGAACAAGCAGTTGGGCTATAATGTGCTGCCATTCGAAATCACCGATGCCGATGAACCGCCGAACACGTCGCCCTACACCTTCGATCTTCGCAGCGGCAATGATGGCGGTTTCTTCCGCATCGAGCAAGATGGCTGGCTGCGTACTGCGGCGCGTTTTAATCACAAAATCTGCGACATTTACACGCTGCAGGTGCGCGTCTTTGACAATGGAACACCGCCGCTCTATTCGGACGCCTGGGTGCATGTGCGCATCATCGAAGAGAGCCAATATCCGCCTGTTATAACACCGTTGGAGGTTACTGTGAAGTCTTATGACGACGATTACATCGGTGGTTTCTTGGGTCGCATACATGCGAGCGATCAGGATAAGTATGACAATTTGATATACGCGCTGACGCCCACCAGCGGTGAGTCGTTCGTGACCAAGCAACTTTTCAATATATCACAAAATAACGGTTCCCTGTACGCCATCAGCAACCTCGATGTGGGCATGTATCGCATTAATGTAACTGTCACCGATGGCAAGTTTACAGCGCATGCAGTTATCAAGCTGAATGTGGAGCTTATAACGGGCGATATGACACGCAATGCTGTTGTGATAAGTTTTCGCAAAGTTACGCCTGAAGCGTTCATACTGAGTCATCGCAAAGGTTTCATACGCGCTTTGCGCGCCATACTACGCTGCCGCCAGAAAGACATCACCATCATTGCCATACAAACGGCCTCGAGCCATGCCACTTACAAGGAACCCAACGATTCGGAAAATGTCATGCTGGAGCGGAGTAAGCGTCAGACGCCTATGGCTGCCGATAATTTGAATATTTTATTCGCAGTACGCAAGCAACAAATAACGCCCAGCTCAGAGGAGTATTTCACCACAGCTGAGGTGCGCGCAGTGCTGGTCAATTTCATTGACGACATCGAGGACGCCACCAATCTGGTGGTGGAAGAGATAATGGCGCCTACCTGTGCGCGCAATATTTGCATGCAAGGTGACTGCTTCAATCGCATACGCCTCAATAAGCGCAAGTTAAATACGTACTCCACAGATGTCGCCAGCTTCGCCTCGCCCACGTACAAGCACGCCAACGAATGTCAATGCAAGCAAGGCTATGGTGGACGCATATGCAACGAGCCGATAAACGCCTGCTCATCGGACCCTTGTCCGCCGGAGAAGACATGCTGGCCCGCCAACACTACTGTCGGCTACCAGTGCATCTGTCCGCAAGGTTACACCGGTCATGCCTGCGACAGCAAATCGTCGCTATCGAAATGTCCATACGGCAACTGCAGCGCGCGTTTCACCTCGGTCTCCTTCAGCGGCAAGAGCTATGCGCACTACAAGATCAACAAGGCTGTGGCGAAATCTATACTCGAGCAGGAGTTTGTCTATTCGCTGAAGATACGCACTGTGCAGCAAACGGGCACGTTACTCTTCTCCAGCGGCCGCATCGACTATCACATACTGGAGATCTTCAATGGCGCTGTGCAATATCGCTTCGAGCTGGGCTCGGGCGAGGGGAAAATATGTGTCTCAAGCATTTACATTGCCGATGGCGAGTGGCATACCATTACGCTGGAACGCATATTGAATAGCGCCAAGCTGACGGTGGATAACAAGCACGTCTCGCAGGGCAGTGCGCCAGGCGTCAATGGCATACTAAACATACAATCGAGTGATATTTTCGTGGGCGCTGAAGTGAAACCGCATCCCTCCATCATCGGCTTCGAGGACATACAGAAGGGTTTCATTGGCTGCATGTCAGACATCAAAATTGCGCTCGATCCACTACCACTATACATATCGGGTGGCAGCTCTGTGGCGGCGCTAAAGCGTTTCACAAACGTCGAGTTCACTTGTGATCCGACGAGCGTGCTCGTACAACTGGGCATTTGTGGCGCACAGCCTTGCCTCAACGGCGGCATCTGCATCGACTTGGGCGAGAATAAATTCAAGTGTACCTGTCATTCACGTTTCACCGGTCAGATGTGTGAGATGGATATGGATCCGTGCGCCTCGGCGCCCTGTCTGTACGGCGGCCGCTGTGAGGTGCACGAGTTGGGCAATTACACGTGCGCATGTCCGCTGCACTTATCGGGGCGCCGCTGCGAATATGGCAAATATTGTTCGCCGAATCCATGCAAAAATGGTGGCGTTTGCGAGGAGGGCGATGGCACACCGCACTGCATGTGCCGTGGCTATACCGGGCCAACGTGTGAGATCGACGTGAATGAATGTGATAATCATCCGTGTGGCAATGGTGCCACCTGCATCAATGAGGCTGGTAGCTTTCGCTGTATTTGCCCATCTTATCTCACAGGCGCCAGTTGTGGCGATCCATTATATTCGAATTCGATTTCTACAAAGTTAAAGAATCTCTCAATGGAGCAGCTTGCTGGCATTGTGGTGGGCATAGTATTCATTATCATAGTTATACTTGTGGCCTTCTGTTGTATAGTCATTCGGAAGAGCAGCAATACAAGCGGCCAAAATGCAACGAGTAAGGATCCATATAAGGGTGAGAATTTGAATTCGCTTGTCTGTAAGGAAAAATATGCCAAGAATATCGCTAAGATGAGCAATTTGGAGATAAACCAGCGGCCAATGAGTTATACAGCATCGACAAATGATAACTTGTACACTGGTCACACAACCTTCGTGAATAACTTGGACATATTGCGCAGCTACGGTTCGGCGGGTGATGAGCTGGAAAACATTCCATTCGAATATCAGAAAATCAATCGAAATAATGAGCATGTAAATCTAAACGATTCTGATCCCGTACAAAAGCGCGACTGGGCTGAACAAATGCATTTAAAGACGTTCAGCGAGAATAAGCTTAACAATGGTGAGTAAATATTGCTTTATTATATACATTAAGGTGCATCACTGTTCATCCAAAAAAAATCGGTACTGGTTTTCCATCGGAAATATAAGATTTATTATATTTTAAGACTTCCGCCAAAATATTTTGAAAAAATATTAAGATTAAGCTTAAGTAAGCTGGACATATTTGAAAACACCTCAAAAAATTTAGTTTTTCATAAATAAAAAAACTAGTTTTTAAAAATGCTTTCCCAAAAATCGCCCCCAGATGATAGAAGAGTTCAAACTTGAAAGGCCTACAAAAAATTAAAAAAAAAAATGTTATCAACAGAGTCAAAAGAATGAGATTTTTGGAGGTACTTTCAAATCGGTCTAGCCCACGTTAATCTTAATATTTTCCGAAATAATAATATATATTCTATAATTCGGATGGGAACCACGCGATGCATATATTAGAACATTGTATATAACCTATTAATTAAATTGATTTTTAATTTCTAACCAGGTGGCGACCCTCGTCAAAAATATTTCCCAAATAGAGCTTTCTTAAACCTCTTTCGTTTGATATCTATATAAAATATTTAATTCAATTTACTAATTCAGTTGATTTTGACCTTCTTAAACAGGAAGTAAGACCTCTTTTGACCTTTTAAAACTATCATCGAAATCCCATATTAATATATTTCATTAAATTGTTATTTCATTTTTTTTTTCTTTTTTGGTTTTTGTTTCCGAAGAGAGTGCGTGTCTGATGTATTTTGGAACAGCTGGCACCCTCCTCAAAGATTTTTTCGAAACCTCTCTCGGTTGATACCCATATAAAATTTTTTCTTTTAACTTGTTAATAAATTTGGAAATAATTTCAAAATAAACCATTTTAGAAATTCTTCCGTCTGATACCCACATTGTTGTAATCTTTTATTTAACCTATTAATTGATTATAACATTTGATAAAAATTGTAACTCTCTTATATAATATAAGTAGGATTTATTTTTTACTTAATACTTAAGATAATTTTTTTGCCAATCGTTATTACTAGATTTTACAATTTATAAATATCTGTATATTTCCTATTTAGAAAAACTCGATTATGCCGCTTTAAAAACCGGCTGTAGCAAAATGATACAAGTAACAGTGCCAAATGTATGTCATTCACCTTATACCGATTATCCAACGGTCAATCATGGTCAATATCATTGGGACTGTTCGGATTGGGTACGTAAAAGCCATAATCCATTGCCGGATATAACAGAAGTACCTGGTGCTGAGATTGCCGACTCATCGAGCTTCCATAGTAATGATAGCAATGAATCTAAGCCAAGGCGTACCTATGCAATGCAAAGTAAGTTGCGATAATAAAATTGATACATAATTAAAACTCTTCCCACAATTTTTCCTATTATTTTATCTACATATGTATGTTTATTTTTGTATAAAAAATACCTATTTTTTTATTCCCGTTAGGTATGTGCGTTGGCGTTGATCCTACACGAGATATTGTAACTTTAAATGAAGACTTAACATCCGAATGCATCGACTCTGAACTCGAGAGTTGTATGCGACCTTTCGAACTGCCGCTTATTAATAATGATGATGTTTCAAGACTGAGCCCCCAAATTAACTTTGAGAATGAAGACTTCATTACAAATCCAGGTAATAACCTTATTTAATAATAATAATACTAGATCGGCGCTTACACATATGTTAGTGTTTGGCCGAGCTTCTCCTCCGATTTGTGGCGTTGTCACACAAAGAGCAGGGACCTTTACGCCGACTCCGAACGGCGATTGTATTTTTATAAGAAGCTGTTTTTCATGGCAGAAATATACTCGGAGGTTTGTCATTACCTGCGAGGGGCGCTCGCTGTTAAGAAAAAACCCTTTTTCTACATTTTTTTGCGATGTTCCTTTGACCAGGGCTTGAACCCAGGCCCTGCGGAGTGGAAGCACGCACTGCTTACCACTACACCACAGCGGCCTTATTTAATGTTGATTGAAAACAAAAAACTGTTTAAGAAAAACGAAAATTCGTATAACACATTTAGGGCTTCAAGTTCCAACTTTACTAACCTTAAATGGCATATAAGCTTTAGAAGGAGTTGGCTTTAACTCTTTGTAGTCTCTTTTAAAGTTCATTGATTTTACAATTTTCAAGTTACAAGTATTTATTCTCACAGTAAAAATCGACTTTTTGAAAGATCTACAGCAAATATTCAAAACTAATTTTTCCTAAAATATTTTAAATTTCGTAAGACCTTTTTGTCCAATGCTTTTCATATATGTATCGATAAATTTGTATATGTATCGATATTTTCATATATCGATTTATTTATCGCTATTTATCCATTTACTTGTCGTTATGTTCTTGCCCAATGTCATCAGAATATAATCGATACAATTGCATAGCAATAAAATTGTCGACATGTATTTGGGTGGTCCTTAAAATATCAAAATCTTGGGAACCTCTTTTTTTTTGTTCTACGTACAAAATAAAGACACCTACGAAAAATTTAAAATCAAAAAAAATAGGGGTCACTACCATGCTTTGGAAAATTTTAATTTTTTCTATCGCAAAAAATAATAATAAAATGAATAGGCTTCAATAATATGTCAAATTTATCAGATTTCAGTAAAAATTGTATCAAACTTTTGTGATTCTTAAAAGATTTACAATTTTTTCAAACCCTGGTAGCGACTACTAAATTTTTTTTTAATATTTTGGATGTCTTTTTTTTGCACGTAGAACAAAGTAACGAGGTGGCCTATACAAAATTTAGATGTTGATATATTTTAAGGACCACGCTAATGTGTATCCATGTTCGTAAAACTTGCGTTCATTCGAGTTAATATTCACTTTGCCCTGGGAGTGTATTTTTCACCTCGGGTGTACTCGACAGTGTTGCCGCGAATCATTTTTAGCGGTAGCCAAATTCCATTAAAAAAATGGCTAAAAAAGAGCTAAAAAAAGTCGTTGTGGCTAAAAATGGTAGCTAAATTTTTTACTTACATACAAGTATACACGAAAACATTTTCAATAAGTAATGGTATAGAAAAACAAGTCTGGAAAAAAGCTAATATTTTATCCAACCAAAAACCTTTTTGTATAAAAGGGGAAATATACGACACCAGCTTGCTGGCTCCATCCAGTGATTGTACCATCAGGCTCGAAGTATATAACTTACCAGCATGCTGGTACAATATTTATTTCTTTACAACGAGGTCGAGGAAACATCGAAATGATTACAGCGGAAATTTCATAATTTTTCTACCGTTTTTTTAAACATTGTGTTTTTTTTTGAAATTCACAACTGCAATATCGTGAACTTTAATACAAAATACTTTTTACTTAGAAAATTTAGCTTATTTCACCACTGACGACACCAGCTTGCTGGTACAATCATAAAACTTTCAAATAGTTTTTGAAGTCACACCAGCAGCTGGTACAATCACACCACAAGAACATACAGGGTCAATCGACTTGATGGGCCATTTAACTAATAAATCATATTAAGGGCCGTAAACTTATCTATTTTAAACTGTCGTAGTATAAAAACGTAAGGAACATACAATACATATATGTATATATGTATATCAGTATTTCTTAGTTTAAAAATTCATCTCTTACATAGATAAAAAAAAATTAGATCAAATTAAGCATACACAACTTTTCATGCCAAGTATGAATAAATTCTATAAAGGGCTAAAAAAGGGCTAGGGGCAATTTTAAATTTATGTGGCTAAAAAAAGTATGTGGTGGCTAAATCTAGCCACCAAAGGGCTAAAACGGCAACACTGGTACTCGAGCTGAAAATTTAAATTTGTACAACTCTCCCTGCATCACGCTTTCGAGTAACGAAAGTGTGAAAACAACAAATCAAAATTTTTACTGAGCAATTTCTATGTACAGCATTTTAGCAACATAGCAACTAGATTGCAATATTGCGGTAATTATTACGTAGCTCGAACATACCCTCCTTCACACGTATTTAATATTGTTATCGATAATGTTATCGATTAATTTATCGAGCCTAATATTGATTAATTCATCGAATCCTTATCCATTTACTGCTATCATCATTTTTTCGAGTTCAATTTCATTTGGACCTTCAAAAACTTTAATTCTTACATACAATATTTTGATTTCCTAAAAATTAAATTTTTTAATTTAAATTTATCGAATTTTCATATTCCTAATCATTTTGCTTTTTTCTTTTAAAGTGCCTTCAACATATGATCCTATGAACTCATGTAAGTACTTAAATTTTAGTAAAACACTATAATTTAACATAAATTAAAAAGTTACTAAAAATTAAAAAAAAAAATATTGTTATTTAATTGCATGAAATTTACGCTCTTCAAATGTGTCTATTTTGAAAACATCAGGTAACGCATACTTACGGCATCCAGATTCATATTTACCTCCATTTAATGTACCCAGTGAAACTGAAGGTGAAAGTTCAAGCACTGAGGTATTTTCAAAAGCCACCAGTGAAATGCTACCCAGAAGAAAATTAAGTGGTATGTATGTGCAAAAACGAACTCCAAAATAATCATGCATCACTCCATGTGTTATCCTAATCTCTTCAATTGTAATTCTTGCTTAACCAATTTTGTATAAATTTTCTTAATTTCTTCGTTCTCTTCTATAGACAAATCGGAAGAAATTTATGTGTTCAGAAATCTCCACTCGAAAAATGGATCAAATAGCGACCTATCGGTTCACTTGTGTGAAATTGAAGATTCCGAATTAGAGGA